CCGACTTTGTGATCAAAAAGGAGGACCACACCGTCGGCAACCTCATCTCCGAGCATCTCAAGATGCACCAGCACGTCCTGATGGCCGGCTACAAGAGTACGGCCGCCACCAACACGCGATGTCGCGCCCACCGCTGACGCCCTATACAGTCCCCCATCCCAACGTGTCCGAGATGTTCATCCGCGTCCAGACAGACGGCACGATCACTCCGAAAGACGCCGTGACGGAGGTCATCAAGGACCTCATGAAGGACTTCTCCCACCTCGCGCAGGAGTTCATCCGCGAGTACGAGCTGCGCCGCGTCGTCGAGGCGCGCCAGCACGATCAGACGAACGGACAGTAGCTGGCGCTGTAGGCTGCCGAAATTCACACAGGAGGCGTTATGGGCGTTGAAGGGTCTATGCATCGCCGAGGACGACATTTGGTTCTTTCCGTGACTCGGTGCCAGGTCTTGTGTGTTATGATGGATGCGCCGATTTGGGCTGTCACCGATTTCATGGATGGACAGAGAGAGAGAGAAAGAGGCATGTGCAATAAAAGCTCCTTGGGTTGGTTATGTCTTTTTATTGGTTTGATCTGATGTGCCGTTGCGCTTTCCACTCATCCGACAATGCCCTGGATTTGGCTCTATAGCTTCTGTAGCTTTTGTTGGACTGAGTATGATTGCTCATCACATCGACACCATCAGTACTTTTGTTTTTGGTGCATCTTCCCAAGCCTCCCTCAGACAGGACCCTCTCCTCCAGGAATCAACTGAGAAAGCCGTCAGCATATGAATTTTTTTATTGGGGCTGTCTCACGCGACGTACCATGCAGATATTATTGCCGTTCAACAGGATTTTGGGCAGCTTGACGTGCTGTCCGGAGTAGTCGCTTGCGGAGGTCAGTATCATGCTCGTTATGCTGTTGGTTGTGCGCCTCACAATTCTGTAACATCCTCAAGCACCATGTCTACCAAGCTGTCAGCCAGGGCTTCTAAAGAGGGACATGATGACTTTCTACGTACTGACATAGTCATCGAAACCGGTGAGAGTGCCGCTGAACTCTGGCAGGGCGTCAGTACGAATATCTAACGAGGCACTGCATACGGTCCCGTACCCTTGTCACCCTTCATAATGACCCATATCCTCGAGCCGACGCACTTGTCGATCAGTTCTACACCACGTCAGTGCTCCAATCTGAGAGAGATTGCATCGTGCCTCACCTAGGGGAAGCAATTGAGATGCCATCGTGTGAGCGTCGCCGCTTTTCTTCGATACGGCAGTGTCAGTATAGTAGTTCCCGATGTTGATCCTGGGCCGTAGTGTTCTTTTTGGTCGTTGCTGTCAAACAATTGTTCTCTAGCGCGTCAAATCGAGAGTCCTGAATTAGATCCGATATCTCGATTGCCCATCACAGTTCATCATGAGGCAGCGAGCGGCGGGTGTGAGACCCAGCCAGCACCACTATGTCATGTGATGTCGCGCGCATGACTCAGCAGCATCGACTCCACTTTTAGCCGCCCGAGCTCTCCAGGTCCAACGGTGATGGTGACGGGAACCCCTCCGGCGGCAGCGTGAATCCCCTGAAGACAGCACAGCCAACGATTCACGGCCCAGGGTAGACGTCTGCCTGTTCCTTGGATCGCCGCGCCATGCCAGTGGTTCACCATGGCGGTCTCATGCTGGCCCGAACCTCTCGCACCCATGTGTCCATGAGGTTCCCATACAAAACTGGCGGTGCTGCCATCGTCTTGCGACACCATTCCAACATAGCATATCGTAACAGGTTAGTTCCTGTGTCAACTGGCCTCTGCAGAGCTTCGCTGACAAAGGGGTTCCTGGTAGATTAAGACTTCCGAATATGACTTCCTACCCGTTCGAACGAGTCTGGCACCGTGGCCGTGGCATTGTGTTCAGTCCTACTCGACAACAAGAATCTGTGCATTCCCGAGCCTACATCACCACGGAGAGTCGGGGCGCTGCCGCATGGACGCAGCACCCCAACGATGCGATAGTCGAACAGGCATTGGACGACGAGGCAGACTGCTCCGATTCAGGCAACGACTCTTTTACGACAGCGGTAGAGTACGATGAAGGCTATACGGTGGTGGGGCCCGTTGCCGGACAACGCAACCTCAGGGAGGAGCTCATCAAGGAGGAAGGTCTCGGCGCGGCTGTCTCCGTGGATACCACAATCTCACCGAAAGGACCTCCAGTCACGAGCCTTGCCTTCAACATCAGCGCGGCGGCATTCGCTAAAGCGCAGCAGGCTCCCGCGGGCACGGCCGATTCCTACTGGTCCCACACCTTCTACCGGGGCCGTGATGTGGACGGCCTGGAGCAGAATGTCAAGGTGCACTACTGCAAGAGCAAGCACAAAATGGAGCACGTGTGTCAGTACTTTCTCGACGAGAAGGTCTTGGGCTTCGACCTCGAGTGGCAGCCCAGCGCAAGCAAGTCCTCGGGCCCGAGACGGAACGTGTCGTTGATCCAGCTGGCAAGCCCGAGCCGCATCGCCCTCTTCCACGTGGCGCTCTTTCCCGGAGCTGACGACGACTTGATGGCGCCGACGTTCAGGCAGATCATGGAGGACCCAGACGTGACCAAGGCCGGCGTCAACATCAAGGGCGACTGCACGCGCCTGCGCAACTGGTTCGACGTTGGCACGAGGGGTACCTTCGAGTTGAGTAATCTGTACAAACTCGTCAAGCACTCAACCTCCGGCCGCGTGGATCTGGTCAACAAAAGGCTAGTGTCGCTGGCGACACAGGTCCAGGACTGCCTCGGGCTGCCCATGTTCAAAGGGCCTGATGTCCGGTCGAGTGACTGGTCGCAGGCCCTCAATATGCAGCAAATCACTTGTCAGTGTTTCATGGCATCGATCTTTCTGTGTTCCCGGACGTAAGCTGACCACCTTTTGCAGATTCTGCAGGTGACGCGTATGCTGGTCTGCAGCTCTATCATGTCCTTGATGAGCAGCGGATGGCGCTGACACCCAGGCCTCCGCTGCCATATCATGTCGAATACAACCTGCCGATCCGCCTGGCGCCCGGAGTGACGATACCGTCACCAGAAGAGCTCGCTGAACTCGCCACCCCAGTCCAAGCCACTGCCACAGCCAGTGACAAGATGACCCCCGCAGCATCAAAGATGACCGCAGCAGCAGCAGCAGTGGGCGGCGCTGGTGTAACACGACAGCCGGCAGCGACAGATACCTCGCAGCAGGCCACCACCCAATCGACATCGGCATCGGCACCGGCACCCCCACTCTTGTGCTCGCCATGGGGGACGTCGGACCCGACGCGCATCATGGACGCCAGGGTGCTCGCTGCAGAGTCCCGCGTCGCCACTTACCGCGCGTCAAAGACGAGCATGCGCACGACGCCCACGTCGCTGCGGTCGTATTACCTGTGGCACGACAACGAGGGCATCGGGCCGGAGCAGGTTGCGGGCATCCTGCGTGTGCCGCCGCTGCAGACCAACACGGTGGTTGGCTACGTGCTCGAGGCAATCAAGCTGGAAAATCTGCCGTTCGACAAGAAGAGGCTGAGGAACGAGGTGCTACACCTTCTTCCGAGAGATGTCATGGAGAGGAGATATCCGGCCATTTTCATGGCAGCGCACCAGGTAGACGTTGCGCCGGGACGTCCGAGAACGACTACCGCGGCAGCCAGATCAGACTGGCCGTTGTGACCCTGAAGCTACCTAGAAGGCGTGCGGAAGACTTCGCCTTGACTGCACGTAGTCGGCCATAGCTATGAGTCCAGTGTCAATTCCAGAGAGGAATGTGGACATTGCCGGAGAGTGTCTACACTGTAACGCAAGGTGACCTCAAAGAGCCGGTCGCAGGGAAACAAACATTCGGTCATGGCGCGCACGTCGCTCTCGGATCGTTACGCTTCGCTGTCGTGCAGCCACGCCGACCAGGCAACGTGCTGCCGTCTCAAGGTGCACAAAACCTGTAGGCAGGGGATTCATTGGCTGGTAGGACCATGTTGGTGGTTGGGACGCAGATCCACGCCACAAGGCCGCAGCCACGCGGACGGCGCCACGGTAGATACGGCGCAGACGATCGAAAGCCAATCGCCCATGTCCGACACATCAGTTGTCCAACAAAAAGATTTGGTAGACCTCACAGGCGGCCTCCATGATGGGCCAGCGCGTCAGCACACGACAGTGGAGAGATGACAGCCATTCGCCTCCCCGTATTCCATGCGGGGTCAATGGCGACAGGTTTGGGGAAGCGATCGGACAACGGCGTGCCAAGGCCACCGAGGGGGTGGGGGGTCTTCGGTGACGAGACGTCAGGCCATGAACGTAGATGATGGACTATGAGCAGAAGGAGAAAACTCCGGAAACAATAATCGTATGCAGCCGCCGATTCAGGGGGGGGATGGATGTGTGTCCATGTTGTTGTGTTCTGGTGATCACATAATTCGATGTGGGTACACCTGACTGGCACGCAAGGAGAACCAGAATGACCCCGAGGTGCTATCTTTAATTCACAATGCCATGCGCCTGAGGATGCGACCCTTCGCGCAAGGGGTGCGCGCCTTCGCTGTCCCCCCGAAAGTGAAGGGGGGTTCATCTCTCTTGGTTCTGGCTCTTGACCAAAAAAAGTGCGCAGGGGTGTGTGTAAGCCTCCGAAGGATGCCTCAGCAGAAAAGCGTGTCTGGACAGATTCGGTTTCGCTCACGGTGTCGACGTGGATTTGGGGGACGGATGGCCCACCCCAGCCAATGCGCTTTGAGGCAACGACAAGAGACGAACGATGCGATGTACCTTGGTATGCAAGCGGCCGTTGGAAGGAAACCGTGTGAAGCCCAACTGCCACGACCGGATGACAAGTGGGCAAGGACGGCGACAGAATAGGTTGGGCTTCCGCGTGGGCACATTGACGTCTGCTAGAATGGTGGACGACGCTGGGGGCATCTCTCGTCTGTCGGTAACTTTCTTCTCTTCTTTGTTGTTCCTGACATTTTGACGCTGAATCGGATCGGTCGGCGTGTGGCGTCGGTCTCTCGCCCTGTGCACGACCGCACGTCCTGTGCTGACTGTCTTGGCCTTGACTCGACTCACTTTGAGGCGGACGTGGAGGAGGAGGGATGGACCCTTGGTGTTTCAAAGCGAGGCTCATCGGGCTCAAGGCCGCTGCATTTCGTCACAAGGCACGGATGGGACGAGGACCGACGGGGGTTGACGCGAAGAATGCTTCGGACGAGTCTGGCTTGTCTGAGGCCTGCACGAACATGTCTGCCTGCTTGCTCTTCGGTGGGTACAAAATGGCCCTGTCTTAGATCGCTCGCGGAGGGGAGAGACGGCGCGATTCGTTGACTGGAACACGAGCTGGCCTCCAGCGAACGATGGACTACATGTACAGTCGTGGAGTTCAGTCGAGACGAAAGGCATGCCAAGGCTCGCCTTACTTGGTGAGCCCTCCTTCCCCCGGCTTCTGCCTTGCTCGAGACTTCAATGGCTGAGCGAATTGCATCAGAGCCCCAAGTATCGCTCTAGGACGCCGGCAGATAATTTGCGATGCAGGAGAACAACAGGGGGTGGATAGAGTGAGTGGGAAAGGGGGGGGGGAGAAGGCGAAGGAAGAGTGTGCTCGCCCACTTCGATCCCTTCTGCAATTGCACCCCAACCCCCTGAAGAGCGACACGAGATAGGCTGGAGACTCCTGCCTGGCGGTTTCCGGGGGGCCCCCTAGACGGACATCAGAGGGCGGCATGTCACCCGCCCGCCAACTCTATGCCCCGAAAACCCTGGCCTGCCCCGTTGAAGGCCCCCCCCTTTTTTTTCCCCCCCCCCCCCCCGATCCATTTGCCCCCCCCTTGGCGTTCTTTCTTCCTCTGCGGTCCCTTTGGGTCCTCGGGCAGATCCCAGCATGGCGGCCCCAGGGGCCTGTCTACTAATTAACCACCTCCCAGCAGGCACTGGCTGAGTGGAAGGGCGAATGATGAAGGATGAATGACGGGGACCCGCGCCCCCCTAACCCTTACGGCGAATGGCTTAGTTAGAACAAGTAGGTG